GTCCAATCGGTCTTATTCTGCATTATAAGCGCCGCGATTCCAGCAACCTGAGGTGTAGCCATAGACGTCCCACTCATTAAAACCTTAGTAGCTGTCGACATAGCAGCACCCGGGGTCGTTCCGATAGCGGCACCCCAAAGATTATAACCCGGAGCGATGATATCGGGCTTTAAGATGTCGTTGGTGGGGAAAGAGGGAGGAGGGACGGTGGAGGGGAGGACAAGAGGACCGATGGATGAGAAATAGGCCATGGTTGCTGCGGCGCCAGTGGTGGTTTGAGTGAAACCGTAAGACATTGTGCCTGTCGGGCTGGGAGGTGGCAGAAAGAAAGAGGTCGAGAGGGACCCATGGGAGGAGGAGGAGTTTCAGTGATACACCGAAACAAAGGAAGAAGCAAGGGCGTGTCCAAAAGCGGGTAATGGAGATGTAAATGTTCAAAACTGGGGATGGGGGGCAAGGAGGTATGCAGGGAGAAGTGCAAAAAGGGAGATGGAGTGAGTATCAAATGCTTGTATTTGTGAAAAGCAGCAGTGTACTGTCAAGAAAATCCAGGCAACAAAACAGCAAATAGCACAGACCACATACCTTGCAGTCAGTAGGTACTCATTCAGAATCGCATCGTTAGGAGGGAAGAGTGTCATTGCAGGGAGGGTGCCGTATCGGGTCACCGACGCATCGTCAGCCGGCATCACACTCACTATAAGCACCGCCAGGCCTTTGCCGCGTGCCACCTCTGCTGCTTTCTCATCGTTGCTCACTCCCCCTCCGTATAAGCACACCACCATGCGCCAAGCCACCCACACTGTGTCGAGCGAGCCATATTTGCAGTACTTGGCCTGTTGTTAAGGATGAAATGGAGAAGGAAAGAGAATGGAGGGTGATGATGAAAGAGGTGAATGTAACCTTATAAATGATTGAAGCACAAGCAGAAAAACAATTATGCAAAATAGCTTAGGTTACGCATGTAGATGCATTTGCTTCGTTGGAGTCAGCAAATGGGTTCTTTGTTGAATACTGTAGAAGCAAAAGGGGGTTTGTTGGATAGAATTTCCTGTAGATGCACTAGTCAAGGCGAAAGGAATCTAGGCGAATTGTCACAATCAGACGAAATTGAAATGTACTTTTCTCATTTACTTACCTTAGATGCATCGTAGCCCGCAGCCGGAATTTTAGCTGCGTCGATGAGGGGGGTGTTGGCACCCATATTCAAGCCGCCAAACCCGTTTCCGTAAATCACGGTACCGTTGCCGAGGGTGAGCGACGCGTTGTAGCGACGGCTGATAGAGCTGTGCGCATTGAAGCGGGAATACAGTCATGCGAAGGGGGAACGGAGAGGGATGGGACGGCGGAGGGGGGGAAGTGTGGGGGAAGAGAAGAGGGGACAAAGAGTAACGACGTGGATTTGAGGGCAAAGAGAGTCAAAAAGCGAATTCACAAAGGAAGCACGCAATATGAACAACCTAAATCACCTGAAAATCTCACCTGGGGTCTCACCTGGCGCCAACAGTGAGGAAGAAGGGCGAGAAGTTGGAGATGGAGCGGTAGAGAGAGGGGTGGAAGGGCGGAGGACCGTAGTTGGAGGCTGATTTCACCACCACCACTCCCGCCTGATTAGTGTTTGCAGTAAAACGAAGGAAAAGGGAAAAGGGAATTCGTGAGGAATTTTTAGATTTCAATAGAATACTAAAACATTATAAGGAAGTGAGATTAAAATGCGTACCAAATGTCCATCCAGATAGCCCAGGTCGTCGAAATAAGTGTCCGAAAGATCCGTGCCTCCCAGCGACAGCGAGAGCGGCATGGGAAGGCTGTCGAAACTCACCAAATGCGCGTCCAGATAACCCAGGTCGTCGAAATACGTGTCCGACGGGTCCATGCCTCCTAACGACAGCGACAAAACGTCCACCCCGTCCGCGACGGCCGTGTCGACCCCCGCGAGGATATCCGAGTCCGTTATCACGCGGCCGTTGTACTTGGTGCTGTACCACGAGACTTTGTACGCGGCGAGGAAGGCGCGCGGCGCGACGCCGTAGGACGAGCCGAGAGAGACGGAGTTGAGCGAGCCGAAGGAAACGGGGCCGTTGCCAGCTGCGGCTCTGGGAATTGGGGGAAGGGGAGAAGGGGAAGAGAAGGAGCGCCTTAGGATCTTACCACCCCGCACACCAGGTGCCGTGGCCTGCCACGTCGCCAACAATATTAGGGGTTGTAGTAGGTCAGCCCCGCCGCGAGGAACTTCGCGATGAAGTACAAAGTTCAAATCAACCATTCATAACGGTGTGCATGCAAGAAACCTCTCTACGAAACTTACCCCGCACACCACGTGCCGTGGCCTGCCAAGTCACGCGGGGAGAGCCAATCTCTGGGGCCGTAGTAGGTCAGCCCCGCGGCGAGGAACCCCGCGATGAAGTACTGCGCGCCGATGAGCTTCCGCGTGCACTTGGGGAAGTCGGAGGTGGTCTGGCATTTACCCGTCCACGTGGCAGGCGGGTCAGGGTACGGGTTAGTTGCCTGATGAGGGGGAACAGGGGGGGCAGGGGACACGGCGGAGAGGGGCGGGGGGGCGGGGAGGGGGAGGAATTGGCGAGGAACCGGGGGGGGGGGGGGAAAGAGGGGGTGGGGGGGGAGGGGAGGGAATTTGCGAGGAATCTCGTGATGAGGAGGGTCAGAACATGAGCGGGGGAATGTGCAATTTCAGCGAAAGAATACACACCTGGTCCTGAAACGATGGATGCTCGGGCCAGATTCCCGTATCAACGACTCCGACAACTGTTCCCTCGCCGGCCGCGGTCAACTTGGCGGCCTTATTCGCCTTCCATAGCGTGTTGGGCAGATTGAGGAAATTTGGAGAGTCGAGCACGTCTAACTTGCGGATTTTGCTCTCCTGCACGTATGCTACTTCCGGGTCTGCTTCTAACGCGCGCTTCTGTTCCTTAGAAAGCCGAGCCGCGAGACCGTTGGTCGAATACGCGTAGCTGTAGAGCACGTCCGAGTCGGGAACCCCCGCGCCGCGCGCGACTCGAGCGTGCTGGGCTTTGACTCGACTGACGTGGTCCTTGACACGCTGCGAGTTCCGGTCGATCTTCTGCCGCTGCCCATTCCCCCCGTTCGCTCCGCCGTTACCTCCCCCATTTCTGCCGTTTCCGTTATTCCCGTCCCCTCCAATCTCGGCCGCGACGGAGTTTTCTTTAAGGCGGACGATATAAACGGGGTTGCCCAGCGTCTCGGTGGCGAGAAGGCGGCGGGGCGCCGCGGATGACTGCGAGGCGGCGGGGCGAGCCGCCTGGCCGAGTAGGAGCGAGAGGAGGAGGAGCGGGAGGAGCCGCAGCGCGTGCGCCGCGGTACTCCGCGCGGAGGTTGCATTTTCCGCGCCGCGGGGTAGCGCAGAGGCTGTCATGATAGTCGCGTGCCTGTAACCCCGCTGGTTACCAGCTGGTGCTGCGAGGAAGCCCGCTAACTGGATTCCGAATAAGGCTGGGTATGTCGGAAGGTTTATAATGAGAAAAAAGATCTTCTTGAGTGTCGCGCTATCATGCAATGGCGTTCCCGTCTTGACACTACTCAGACTCCTGCTTCTCGTTTCTAATATCGTTTTCAAGAGCTCACAACCACAACCGGCTCATCTTTCGCTGTCAGTGCCTGGGACGATTGGGGGGCCTCCCTGCCACTGGTTTTGCTCGTTCCGTCGCTGCCGGATCTGGACGAGTGACTGGCCGGATGCATGCACACGTGGAAGTACATTCACTATAGCGTATCGGTCGTGCGTGATGGGCGTCTCGCAAAAAAAGCTGGATCTCTGTTGCTGCAAAGCTGTACCGAACGTAAACTTCACACGAGTATTGGCGTTTAGCGAGATTAGTGGAGTCTGGGTGGGCACTGTCTGCAAGGATGGGAGGAACCGCAGAAATTCGACAGCGAAGATCCGCGATCAAGGGTTACCTTACTTCGTGGTCTCTATTACTGCACAAAGATGACTCGCGCCACATCTCTCGAAGTCTTTCTGTGGCTCTGCCATGATCAACTTGAATTTCCATTTTCGCCTGAAGTTTCGTACAGATTCGATTGTTTGTTCGCGCTTCCCGCGTGAGCCGGCTGCGGTAGTTGATGGTCAGGTCGATTGGAAAAGTGTCGTCGATGCGGCCAGGTGCTCGGAAGTTCAAGCTTTCACCTGGCTCCTGAAGTTGCAGTTTGAAATATCACCTGCGTCTCGTGCTCCATGTAGCATGGCACAAAAGCGTGGCGAACATAGCAGAAAGGGAACAAGCCTTTAAAGCAGCAGTATACATTTGGCAGGGCCAGTGCCAAAAGTTTATAAAAGGTACATGGTGGTTACCGAATTACGTGCCACCCAACTTCTCTCTCGAGAAACGAGGGGTTCCCTCCCCACCCAGTGAGCCCAGTCGAGTGTCAAAACTTTATAGATGCCAAAAGTATACTAATTCAATTCCCCCCGCACCACCGCACTCTCGTAGCGTTCTCAGCCTGCACTACTAGGAAAGAACATACCAATAGCATTGAAGTGCGACGCGACCGTAGCAGATCCCTTAGGCTCGCCGGCGCCAAAGTCGACGAATACACATCCAGTCGTTTAGTCGTGGCGGGCGTCGCCGTCGCGTCAATCGTACGTTTAGTGTGGCAGCCGGCCTGGCCACTCGTAGGGTTGCGATCACGCGCGCGAACCGACGAGCCCGCATAATGTGGAATCTTGTCACGCCTTCTTCCGCTGCCCCTCACTTCGCCTCTCCTCGCCGCTTCGCCGCGCTTTCCGTAGTGGTCTCCTTGCCTCCCCACGCAGCCTAGGAGATCCCTCTTTTGCATGGTCCGCTCGCCGCAAATCGCCTCCCTCGAGTCCCAACACGCTGCCTCGCCGGACATCGCGTCGTAGCTTCGCCACAACGCCCGTCGCGGCGTCGCAAGTGACGCTAATCCGCACACGGCAACATCACCTCGCCTCCTCACGTTGCCTCCGCACGCCACCTTGATCACGCGCACCGCGCCACAACATGCGGGCCCTTATTCGCCTCCCAATCTCCCCTTTCCCCATCCCGTACTCCCCTGTCCCCATCCCGTTCTCCCCTTTCCCCATCCCGTTCTCCCCTTTCCGCATCCCGTTCTCCCCTTTTCGCATCCCGTTCTCCCCTTTCCGCATCCCGTTCTCCCCTTTCCGCATCCCGTTCTCCCCTTTCCGCATCCCGTTCTCCCCTTTCCGCATCCCGTTCTCCCCTTTCCGCATCCCGTTCTCCCCTTTCCCCATCCCGTTCTCCCCTTTCCGCATCCCGTTCTCCCCTTTCCGCATCCCGTTCTCCCCTTTCCCCATCCCGTTCTCCCCTTTCCCCATCCCGTTCTCCCCTTTCCGCATCCCGTTCTCCCCTTTCCGCATCCCGTTCTCCCCTTTCCGCATCCCGTTCTCCCCTTTCCGCATCCCGTTCTCCCCTTTCCGCATCCCGTTCTCCCCTTTCCCCATCCCGTTCTCCCCTTTCCGCATCCCGTTCTCCCCTTTCCGCATCCCGTTCTCCCCTTTCCCCATCCCGTTCTCCCCTTTCCCCATCCCGTTCTCCCCTTTCCGCATCCCGTTCTCCCCTTTCCGCATCCCGTTCTCCCCTTTCCCCATCCCGTTCTCCCCTTTCCGCATCCCGTTCTCCCCTTTCCGCATCCCGTTCTCCCCTTTCCGCATCCCGTTCTCCCCTTTCCCCATCCCGTTCTCCCCTTTCCCCATCCCGTTCTCCCCTTTCCGCATCCCGTTCTCCCCTTTCCGCATCCCGTTCTCCCCTTTCCGCATCCCGTTCTCCCCTTTCCGCATCCCGTTCTCCCCTTTCCCCATCCCGTTCTCCCCTTTCCGCATCCCGTTCTCCCCTTTCCGCATCCCGTTCTCCCCTTTCCCCATCCCGTTCTCCCCTTTCCCCATCCCGTTCTCCCCTTTCCGCATCCCGTTCTCCCCTTTCCGCATCCCGTTCTCCCCTTTCCGCATCCCGTTCTCCCCTTTCCCCATCCCGTTCTCCCCTTTCCGCATCCCGTTCTCCCCGTCGTGCCTCCCTTTCTCCCATTCCTGCCTCCCCTTCTCCCATTCCCACCTCCCGATCTCCCTTCCCTCGTTTCCCTCGCTTCCCTCCCTTCCCTCGTTTCCCTCTGCCCATCCCTGCACACCCCTCTCCCCATCCCTGCACACCCCTCTCCCCATCCCTGCATCCCCCTCTCCCCATCCCTGCATCCCCCTCTCCCCATCCCTGCATCCCCCTCTCCCCATCCCAGCATCCCCCTCTCCCCATCCCTGCATCCCCCTCTCCCCATCCCAGCATCCCCCTCTCCCCATCCCTGCATCCCCCTCTCCCCATCCCTGCATCCCCCTCTCCCCGTCCCTGCACACCCCTCTCCCCGTCCCTGCATCCACATCTCCGCCTCTCATTCTCCCATTCTCTCCCTTTCCTCCCTTCACTCCCTCCCCTCCCTTTTTTCCCATCCATGGTCTCTTCCTGCAGTCCCTTCCGTCCCCTCCCTCCCTTTCCTCCCTTCCCTCCCTTCCCTCTCTTACCTCCCCGCGATTTCCCTTCTCTCCCGTCCTGCCGTTGTCTCCCTTCCCTCCCTTCTCTCCCTTCTCTCCCTGCCCTCCCTTCTCTCCCTTCTCTCCCTTCCCTCCCTTCTCTCCCTTCCCTCCCGTCTCTCCCTTCCCTCCCTTTTCTCCCTTCCCTCCCTTCTTCGGTTTCCCTCACTTCTCTCCCTTCCCGCCATTTTCTCCCTTCCCTCCCTCCTCTCCTTTCTCTCCCTGCATCTCCCTTCCCTCCCTGCCTCCCAATCCCCCTTCTTGCCAGCCAATCCCCCTTCTTGCCTCCCAATCCCCCTTCTTGCCTCCCAATCTCCCTTCTTGCCTCCCAATCCCCCTTCTTGCCTCCCAATCTCCCCTACCCGTCTTTCAAACTCCACTTCCGTCTTCACCATGGAAGCTACCTCCCTCTTCAACTCTCCTACCTCACTTCCTCTTTTCTAGGTCGTCTATTCCCTCCTTCCATCCCCATCCTTCCCCTTCCACCCTCCCTCCGTCTAACACCTTCTCCTTCCATCTTCCTTCCTACCCGCATCTCCCCGTTTCCCCCGTCCGTCCCATGCTTCCCCCTTCCGCCCCATCCCTGCCCCGTCCCCTTCGTTCCTGATTCGTGTCATGTCCTTCTGGCCACCGCCACTCCGCTGCTGCGAGTGTGGAAGAGTTAGGCGCTTAGGAACCGCTGGCATCATGCATCGTGATTTCACACCAGGAGAGTCGTCACATGATACTCCAACCATTCCCCAATCACCCACTTTACCCCCCGTTCTTCCCATTCCTTCCCTGCCCCCTTCTTTCGCCTCGACATCCCTCCTTACCTCCCTTCCCTCCCTTCCCTGCCTTCTCTCCCTTCCCTCCCTTCCCTGCCTTCTCTCCCTTCCCTCCCTTCCCTGCCTTCTCTCCCTTCCCTCCTTTCATCCTTCCCTTACCGTCCATCCCTCCCATCCCTCCCTTATCTTTCTTCCCTGCCTTCCGTCCCTTCCCTCCCTTCCCTCGAATCCCTCCCATCCCTCCCTTCTCTCCCTTATCTCTCCTCCCACCATCTCCATTCTCGTACAGTCCCATCTAATGTCATCACTTCACCTCTTCTCCCATTGTTGCCACCCCTCCGTCCCTTTTTCAAATCTTCTCCCACCGTGTCACTCGCTACGTCCGCCCACACACTCTTCCTGCCATTCTCACCCAGTCCACACCACCATCCCTCCCTTCCTGCTTCCTATAACCAACAACCGCCTCCCGCCCTCTCCTTCCTCCATCCCTCCAATTCCTTTCCCTTTCTTTAGCCTGCCCCTTACCTTCCTACCCTCCCCTTCCTTCCCTTCCCTTCCTTCCCTCCCCTCGTGCCCTCTAGTTCCCGTGCATGTGCTGCCATCACTTTTGCCCCATAAATGCCTCTAACTCATTTGTAATCACATGTATTTCCTTTCTCCCCTCCCTGCCTTCCCGACACACCTCTTCCATCACACCTCCCTATCTTCACGTCACACCACCCTGCCTCCCCATCACACCTCCCTGTCTTCCCTCCATGGGTTTGGGGAACCATTATTTACAGCTGCGACACCAGGTGTCAGGGTACCTGTATGCTTGGGAAAAGCAGCCAGTCTTGCATTCACATGCTGCTCCGTACAAATGTGCCTGCACGCTTTGCCCCAGCTACAAGCAGGACAACAAAGCCTGGCCCAAGCAACTTGGCGGCGTGAAGGGAGGTGCATCAGGTCCCAGGAGTGTGTGAAGGCGTCAAGATGACACCAAGAGTAGAGGATGGTCCTGTTGTGTATACACAGCGATGATTCTAAGATGTGTACATACAGCTTTGAAAGCTCCTGTCATCCCGACATCATTTGCAAACCTAAAGATGGTTATACTAAGAGGAAAGGAGATTGAAAGACATAGGTATCCACGCGTTTGGATGGATGTAAACATTACTTGCAATACAAAGGTGTTGTAACATGCTATTGATAGTAAAGGTACACTGAATGCAAGCCTAAGGTGAACAAAAATGGTTCCTCTTGTTCCATGCTGCATGCGAGAGCCCTGAAAGGGAGGGTGGTGATAACTGGGGGTGGAAAATGGAAACAACGGGTAGGAAGGCGGGGGAGGGAGGGTAAGCAAGGGGAGGAGGGAGCAATGGAGCATATCTCCCTTTCACTGGGCCACTCTTTGTCCACCACGTAGGGGCAAGCCGAGCCTCCCATCCCCTTCCAGCCATTCCCATCCCCTTCCAGCCATTCCCATCCCCTTCCAGCCATTCCCATCCCCTTCCAGCCATTCCCATCCCCTTCCAGCCATTCCCATCCCCTTCCAGCCATTCCCATCCCCTTCCAGCCATTCCCATCCCCTTCCAGCCATTCCCATCCCCTTCCAGCCCCTCCAATCCCCTTCCAGCCATTCCCATCCCCTTCCAGCCCCTCCCATCCCCTTCCAGCCATTCCCATCCCCTTCCAGCCCCTCCCATCCCCTTCCAGCCCGCAACAACCCCCCTCCAGCCCCTCAGATCCCCTTCCATCCCCTCCCATGCGCACACCGCCACTTCGTTTCCCTACTCACTTCAGGAAGTTCTCTACTCCCTCCTTCTGTTGCGGGCCAGAAATCAAAGATGTTCTTGAAGCGACAGCAGCAGTAGCATGGCAGCTTGGTCCCACGACTCCGGCAGCTCGCGCACACGTTCCACAGCAGCCCAACCAGGTACACCACCTCCAGCACCAGGCGAGCTATGTTGCGCGCCAATGCACAGTGAGAACACTAGCAGAGTAGGTGGCTAGATTGATTGTTATAAATCCACTAAAAAGAGGATGAAGAGGAGGAGGAAGGCGAGGAGGAGTCTCCTGACAGAGCGCCATCCTCGTAGTAGATGGTGCCCAGCTGATCAAACAACTTGCTGTTTGCGAACACGTCAGGTGGCTCGCCGTCCATCCCTGGTGGGGAGCAGAGGAGATGAGGGCGAGTGGGGAGGGAAGGGAAGGGTGGTGGGAAGAATGGGTGTAAGGATGGCGAAGCAGGGTGGGGCTGTGTATGGGACAGCCAAGTGTGGAGGCAAGCTTCTCGTGCTCCAAGTGTCACGATGCTACTATCAATCACCCCCTCCACTCACTGATCACACTTTCTACTCACTCACCACAACTCCCCTCACTGACCACCCGCCTAACTCACTGATCACGCACGGCAGGGGGTCGTCGCTGGTGTCCTGGACGCCAGCGTTCATGGGAGTGCACGCCAGCTGGTTGTTGGGTAGCACAATGTGGAAGGGGCGCTGCCATGAGGAACTTGTACTTGACAGATATTGAATGATTTTCTAAACCTCCGCTGCACTTGTATACTAAACTTGTACTTACGCTGCCATAGTACTTGTACTTGTATATTGAGCTAAGACCGGTGCTGCAGCAAGTGCATACCTGATGTACCTTCAAGGGGTGTTGGAGAATTCTGAAGCAATGTCCGGCTAGCAGGTGGGCATTAGAGGGAAAGTGCAAGAGCAGAGTGAGAAACAAGTGAAGTGGACTGGCGCGGCAAGAAAAGAGTTGGAATCATGAATGGGTCATTGAGCGCTGCCCTATGATTGGTTGGTGCCCTGTGGTTGATCTGTATTCTAATTTGCTCTCACATCGAGAACAAAAAAACAAAAACCCTGCTGCCCCACAACAGAGCAGAACATATAACCTCCAAAGGTCCTAGGTTTATTTCTCAAGGCCAAAAGGCACGAAGATGGGTGGCTTACTAAGGGATAGGGGGTGGCGGCATAGCGGGTGATGGTGGCGGGCGCCACAACGCACATGCGTGCACAGTCCACAAACGCCCCTGCCACCTCCCTCTCTGTGAACGCCCGCCTGCACGCTGCTGGCAGGCACGTGGCCGGATGGGATGAGGTGGATATGGGATGAGGCAGAGATGAGATGAGGCAGAGATGGGATGAGGCAGAGATGGGATGAGGTGGAGATGGGATGAGGTGGAGATGGGATGAGGTGGAGATGGGATGAGGCAGAGATGGGATGAGGTGGAGATGGGATGAGGCAGAGATGGGATGAGGTGGAGATGGGATGAGGTGGATATGGGATGAGGTGGATATGGGATGAGGTGGATATGGGATGAGGTGGATATGGGATGTTGTAAGCATCAACATACTTAGATTGAGATAACAAACTCACACACGGATGGCAGCTCTCAAATGATGCGTCCATCTTGACGTCATCTCACATTTGTCAAGAGTCCTGCAATCAGTGAGAACACATGTGCACATGTAATATTAGTAAGTGTTACGGCTCGTCCGTCCAATACTGACGAAATGCACCACCATTGACCTACCAAGCAAGGACCGCGAGGCTGCGTAGGGTTGTCCCTCATTGGTCCGCCTTCGCTTCGGAGGGGGCTCGGGTGTTGCGGGTGCAGTGGGGGTAACGATGTCAGGCCCGGGGCTCGATGGAGCAGCAGGCGTCATGCAATTCCAATCTCGCATTATGTCGTCAACCCAACTCCAGTTCATAGGCTCTAAGATCCGCGAACTCTTACCACGCCGCACCCTGGTAACTCGACTCATCCTGATATTGGTTGCACGAACCTCCCTATCCATTGAATGGTTCCAATGCAACACGGTAAGACCAACCCGTGCCCTCATGCTTCCACGAAACAGTGTGCGTTTCGGAGCGTACTTGCATATCAGTGAATGAAATGATTCATTCATCCAATTGCAAGACCCATGAACATATGGTCTCATCTCGTCCTCCCCACAGTTTTCCTTTAGCCACTCCTTGAATGCGATATGTGTACGAGAACCATGCTGGTACAGTACACTCTCTGGTCCCCAGTTATCAGTCACGCATCTAGGAGTCTCTGTGCCCCCACCACAGCGCAAATGGTCCCCAGCCCAATGATCTTCTGCACTCCCAATCTCATTGGCCACATCCTTAGCAGTCATTGGCACTCCCTGTTTCCAGCATAATGCACATCGTGCCATCACATGATGAAAGTGTACACTAAACCTTTGCGCCACTGTCACCTCCTCGATCAGCTCATCCGGATCTTCCATAACCTCCTCTTGCACTGCAGCGCCCGCCCCACTCCTCTTCCCGCCACGGGAGCGCCTATCCACCCAACGTCGAGCGTGCTCCGCGGTCCCTCGACCCCCGTCTGCTCCAACAGCTGCACTTGCCCCATTTGTGCCTGGTGGGAGGGCATAACAATACAAGGGGAGTTTTGTCTTCGAAATTGCTCTCTGGAGCCTCCCATGAAAATGTGCTAACGGACCATATGTATCACAATTTGGATGGAATAGCAGTGCGAGCACCATTGCAATGTGAAATATCTCACCTGTCTCATCATCACTGGATCTGTGCCTCGGTTCGGCGGCCACCATGCCACGAGTCGCGTCGGCGTGGCGCGCCGCAGAGGCCTGCATGATGAAGAAAGATGCCACTGAGCAAGGCCGCACTCCATGCTCGGGATGTGGATCATATCCCCACGGCTCTCTAACATCCGAATAATGTAAATCTATCCGACCGGGATCGACTGCAGTCTCTGTGGCTCCCTCCTCAAGAATGTCAATAGCAACAAAGTCGGAACAGCTCTCACGCGTGAGAAAGCTCTCTGTCGTCGCATCGTACTTGTCTCTGCTCTCTTCATTCGACTGAGTAATCGGAATGTCAACTCTCTCCACCCTCTCCCCGCCCTCTGTGCACGAACCGTCGGGACAAGTCGTGCAGGAGGCTGATGATGTGGCCGCCATGCCTTTGCCGTGTCTTCGACGAATACATGCAACTCGTCGCATCTCAGGGTACTTCCACGGCGAATCATCTTTGGAAAAATCCATGTACTGGATACCTTGCACACGACACACTTCCTTTATGAGTTTTATTCTGGGCGTCTTTTTGTTTATACCTTTGAGACCTGCACCTCCATGGACTTTCAACCAGGCACGCATATCATCCGGCTTGACATTCCACCAATCTTCAATGGTCTGTGCCTCAATGGCACTGATCGTGTCCTTTCGGGCATCCACGAAAAACTTGACGAACTTTCGTGACAACGAACGACCTTTGTGCCATACGTCCATCGGATGCTCAATGTCTGTACCAAGAATACCAACCTTGAAACTCGTCCCCTCGTCAGTTATGATACCTTTCACAGGAAACCCCCATTTTTTGAAGTCCTCCAAGCCCCTTTCAAACGCTCTTCCCTCTAGTTGCGTCGACGACACACCCTCTTCGGCCTTGGGTAAAGTCACACAGTGTATAATCCTACGCGTGAAAGGATCCATAAATGTGACGCTGCACCACTCCGCCTCTCGTACCTGACCCCACCTACCATCCACGCAAATCCAATAACCACTCTCTTTACGAGCTAGCATGCACTCACGCGCCTTTTCCATACACCTCGTAGCATGCGCAATGATCTTTTCCCACAGGCCACCCGCCCCACTCATGTACTTGTAGAATGTTCTCTTACACGGGATTGGCACACCCAAGTTCCTGCCTACCTCCGACAGAGCCTGGAAACCGAAACCTGCAAGTGCGAAAGACGCGAGGAACCGTTGCAGCATCGGCAAACTTTTCCGGCCAGGCTTGTCTGCAACGCTTGGTGGTGGCTTGCGATCGACAGACCAGACCGAAACAGACTTTCCACACCTATCGCAGGTCCACACCAGTCCGAGAACACCCCACACCAGCTTCCAAGAGCGTAGCTTCATGGATCCACCACAACCTCCAGTCGCAGTGCAACGGAGAGTCATAGCCATGAAAAACCGAATGAGGTGGATCGGGTTCAGCAAGCATACGACATCGCGAAGCCTAGTGAGGGTTGGTTGAGCAGGCCAGCGTCCGACTCTGGGCTCGGAGTAATTGTCATGAACGTGCGCGCTCCTGCATCGATGGATTGTTGACATAAAAAAAAAAACATGAAAGACACACATGAACGACCGGGTTGATTGCAAAATAGATGAGTGTGTAATTGTGAACATCGAATCATAAACTGGTACTGTTAGCTGCTTGCGCAGCATTTATAAAGTAGGCTTGCTAATTGGGGCCCTGGAGTGCACGAAGGTGAGCATACAAGGCCGTACAAAATCTTACCCCGCATGGGTGTGTGGATCGGCATTGTCTGTCGTATCCACATGCGTGACTCCTGCCGGCACACCGCTCGGACCTCCACATTCAGAATCCACCGTGATAGACACATCGCCTCCTTGAGGAGGGACACACGGATCTATGTCGATCACCACCTCCCGCTGCTCCAGGCACCCCTCACCAACGACGTCGCCAACATTCAGTGATGCTGAGACGTCGTCCGGGTCATCTGTTGGTAATTGACATTGTCGATAGAAATGTGTCATTGGAGGCACTCTCACATGCGCATCTCAAAGCGTGCTATACTAGATGGCGCACACATACCATTGTGCGGTTGATTTGCATCAGGCGAATCATGGTCTGCACCCGTTCCTCCATCAACCGTCGCCCCGCCCCCTGTGCGCGCAGGACCTTTCCCCTGAAGTGCAGGGAACGCGTAAATCAGGCCTCCTATTGCGATAGGTTGCCCTTCCATCAAAGCTTCGGGCCGACCAGCTGCACGATCCCGTCCTCCTTGAATTTTTTCAGAAAACCTCGCCAAATACTCTTCCACTCTCCCTTGTGCCTCTTCACCGTCCGCACCTGACCAATGGTGGTTTCAACGTCAGAGTGTCGGCAACATGCGTTCCCCTTGTACAGGCGGGGGATGGGTTCACTCAAACAAACTCTAAAACACCAGGGCATAGAAATACTCCACTCACCAGCTTTTTTTGCTGCCATCATGAGAGCATCTTTTGCCCCCGGCCCAGCATGCAAAAGGAAGTACACCAAGTCGGACACTGTCGCGGTTCGACCCTCACCCATCAGCGAGCTCAGGCCACACCGCAAGTAACAAATTGGAATTTGCATCGTTTTCGATATCGCGAGGCTTGCTTGGTCCTTGCCCTTTACAATATCTTTTACCCTTGATCTCCATGCGGAGGAGATCTTTCTCGGACGACCCATTCTGCACACCAGGCACCCAAATTGATTATTAACAACCTTGTTACCGGTGCCAATATCGAATGGGCCGAGCCCACCGCATGGGAGGGGGCTGGACAGGCCCTTTGATTGCGGTGGGCCCGCAATTGGGATGAGGCGAGCCCACCGCATGGGAGAGGCTGGCCAGCCCCTTTGATTGCGGTGGGCCCGCAATTGGGATGAGGCGAGCCCACCGCATGGGAGAGGCTGGCCAGCCCCTTTGATTGCGGTGGGCCCGCAATTGGGATGAGGCGAGCCCACCGCATGGGAGAGGGCTAGCTAGCAATGGCATGATGACGGGAGAGGGTGGGCTTGCAGGGGGAAACTGTCCCCATGATGAGGGTGGAGGGAGGCCTAGCAGGGGGCTTACACGGGCATGATGATGGGGTAGGGATGGTTAGTAGGGTGGATACCCATGGCAGGCAATAAGAGGTAAGAGAGGGCTAGCAAGGGGTACCTTATGGCATGATGAGGGGGAAGGGAGGGCAGGGAAGGGAGGGCCAGCAAGGGGGTACCTTATGGCATGATAAGGGGGAAGGGAGGGCAGGGTCGGAAGGGAGGCAAGCGCAGTGGGGGGAAATGCAGAGCAGGTTTGGAGTTGGACTGAAGGAAAAGCGCAGCAGGTAGTGAATGGTGGCGGGGGAATGGCAGGGAAGAAGGGGAAGGGCAGGGGTGAAACGGCAGGACAGGGTAGGGAGGAAGACCGCTGTCTCACCTCGTGCAAAATAGTTGGTTTTGTCCTCTTTGCCTTGGCGGACGTGGCGCCTTGCGTGAGGGAGTTGTGCCTTAGGTGTATGTGTGCAAGCTAGCCTGCACCTAAACACGGGGCAAATAGGGGCAAAACGTGGGGATAGCAAGGGGGAAACATGGGGTTAGCAGTAGGGGGGTAACATGGGGCTAGCATGGGGGTAACATGGGGCTAGCAGAGGGGGAACATGGGGCAAGCAGTAGGGGGGAAACTTAGCACGAGGGATATATGGGGCAAGCAGTAGGGGGAAACATAGCTCGGGGTTAACATTGGGCCTGCAGTAGGGGGGAATGGGGCTAGCATGGGGATAAAAAGGGGGTTACCATGGGAGGAAATAGGGGGCAACCATGGGAGGAAACATGGGGATACCATGGGAGGAAACAGCTCTCGTGTGAGGGCTGTGAGGTTCCTTTGTTGCTGAGCGCTCCAGACGGTGCTCAGTGCTTTCATGCACTGACCACCCGGCCTGGGAAGGCTGAGGGGAGGGAGGGAGGCGAGGATGTGACAAGGGAAGGCCAGTAAGAGTGTGAGGGCTGTGAGGTTCCTTCGTTGTTGAGCGCTCGCAACGCTGCTGGGAGCAGCGATGCACTGACTACCCAGCCTTCTAAACGTGGGGCTAGCACCTTGTGTGCCTAGCATGGGGGGAAACATGGGGCTGGCAGCGAGGAAACATCCGACTATTACGGGGAGAACATGGGGCTATCAGGGGGAAGAAATGAGTCCGGCATGGGGGAAGCGTGGGGCCTGCAGGGGGATAACATGGGGCTAGCTTGGGGCAAACATGGGGCCCGCAGCAAGGGGGAAACATGAGGCTACCATGGGGGGGGGAAATGGGGCAGCCCTGGGGGAAATATGGGGCTTTCACAGGGTAATTTAGGGCTGGCAGGGGAGAAACATGGGGCTGGAGGTCTCGTAACAAGGGGCTAACATTGGGTAAAGATTGGGCTAGAACGGGGGGAATATGGGGCTATTAGGGGGGAAATATGAACGTGAGGGCAGGGGGAAAACGCTAAGATGAGCAGCGATGCACTCACCGCCCAGTTTGGGAAGGGAGGGGGACGGAGGGAAACGAGGATGTGACGAGAAAAGGCAAGTAAAATTGTGCGGGCTGATAGGTTCCCATGCTGGTGAGCACTCCAATTGCTGCTGAGAGCAGCGATGCACTCACCACCCAACCATGAGAGGGAAGGAGAGAGAGGGAAAAGAGGATGTGACATGCGAATGTGCGTAAGAGTGTTCTAGACGGAGGCTCCTTTGCTGGCGTGCACTTCACACACTGCTGTTCGCAGCGATGCCCTCACCACGGCGCCTTGGAGGGGAAGGGGAGGGAGGGAAAAGAGGATGTGAGTGGCGAAGGTGAGTAAGAGTGTTCTGGCAAGGAGGTCCCTTTGCTGTTGAGCACTCCTCACGTTGCTGTGTGCAGCGATGCACTCACCACCCAACATTGGAAGGGAAGGGGAGGGAGGGAAAAGAGGATGTGAGTGGCTGAGTAAGAGTGTGGTCAGGAACCAGGTTCCCTTGCTGGTGAGTACTCCACACGTTGCTGTTCGCAGCGATGCACTCACCTTGGCACCTTGGAAGGGAAGGGGAGGGAGGGAAAAGAGGATGTGAGTGGCGAAGGTGAGTAAGAGTGTTCTGGCAAGGAGGTCCCTTTGCTGTTGAGCACTCCTCACGTTGCTGTGTGCAGCGATGCACTCACCACCCAACATTGGAAGGGAAGGGGAGGGAGGGAAAAGAGGATGTGAGTGGCTGAGTAAGAGTGTGGTCAGGAACCAGGTTCCCTTGCTGGTGAGTACTCCACACGTTGCTGTTCGCAGCGATGCACTCACCTTGGCACCTTGGAAGGGAAGGGTAGGGTGGGAAAAGAGGATGTGACAAGCGAAGGTGAGTAAGAGTATGCGAACTGAGTGGTTCCTTTGCTGGTGAGCACTCCACATGCTGCTATGTGCAGCGATGCACTCATAACCCAGGCTTGGAAACATGAGGTTAGCATGGGGGAAACATGGGGCTATCGCGGGGGGAATATGGGGCTATCGGGGGGGAGGAATGGGTCTGGCATGGGGGAAACAGGGGGCCTGCAGGGGGAAAGAGGGGGTCGGCAGGGGGAAACAGGGGGCCTGCAGGGGGAGGAAGCATGGGCCAGCAGGGGGAAACATGGGGCCTGCTAGGGGGAAACTTGGGGCCTGCAGGGGGGAGACAGGGGGCCTGCAGGGGGAATCTTGGGGATAGCTTGGGGGAATCTTGGGGATAGCTTGGGGAATCATGGGGACAGTGGCTGCATGGAACCTGGGGCCAGCAGTATGGGGGAAACATGGGGATAGAATGGGGGGAAACATAAGGCATGGGGGGGAAAACGGGGGAATGCGGAAGGGGTAATGCGGAAGGGGGAATGTGGAAGGGAGGATGCGCAAGGGGGGATGGGGAAGGGGGAACGCGGAAGGGGGAATGCGGAAGGGGGAGGGCGGAAGGGGGAATGCGGATGGGGGAGGGCAGAAGGGGGAATGAGGAAGGGGAAACGCGGAAGCTGGAAGGCGGAAGGGGGAATGCGGAAGGGGGAACACGGAAGCCGGAACGCGGAAGGGGAACGCGGAAGGGGGAATGCGGAAGGGGGAATGCGGAAGGGTGAATGCGGAAGGGTGAATGCGGAAGGGGGAATGCGGAAGGGGGAAGGCAGAAGGCGGAATGCGGAAGGGGGTTGGCGGAAGGGGGAACGCGAAAGGGGGATAGCGGAAGGTTGAATGTGGAATGGGGAACGCGGAAGGGGGAACGCGGAAGGGGGAACGAGGAAGGGGGATGCGGAAGGGGGAATGCGGAATGGGGAATGCGGGATGGGGAATGCGGAATGGGGAATGCGGGATGGGGAATGTGGGATGGGGAATGCGGGATGGGGAATGCGGAATGGGGAATGTGGAATGGGGAATGCGGGATGGGGAATGCGGGATGGGGAATGCGGAATGGGGAATGGGGAGTGGGGAATGCGGGATGGGGAATGCGGGATGGGGAATGCGGGATGGGGAATGCGGGATGGGGATTGCGGAATGGGGAAAACGGAATGGGGCTTGCGGAATGGGGAATGTGGAATGGGGAATGCGGAATGGGGAACGCGGAATGGGGCTTGCGGAATGTGGAATGCGGAATGGGGAATGCGGAATGGGGCTTGAGGAATGGGGAATGCGGAATGGGGAATGCGGAATGGGGAATGCGGAATGGGGAATGCGGAATGGGGAATGCACCCGGTATGCGACGGCGCGGCACGTGACGCAGCTCCCACCTATTCTTATATGCGCGAAGGCGGTGTGTCCCCTTGGAGACCACGATTCGTCACTGGTACCCGCGCGTGCTATGAATATTACGGGCGCTCTTGCTGCGCGCGTTTTGCTTGCGTGCGCTGCTATGCTGAGCGCGCAATGCTGGAGCGCGCTGTGCTGGAACCAGCGGAATGTTGGGGCGCAAGCGAGGCTAGAGGTGAGCGCCCAACAGAGCGAGGTTAGAGGTGCACAGGCTGCTGCTTGCGCGCGATTTTGCTAGTCGTTTCGCCGTTTAGGCTGTCTCTATTCGTGCTAAACTCACGCGCCACGTGTGTGGTCTGGTCGCGCTGCTGGCGTAGCACCTTCTAGCGGGCACCGTGGTTGTTTCTTTCTGGAGTAGATATTAGCCGCTTATTTTCCTTAGTGTGTGAGTGTGAGTGGTGAGTTCGGTGGCGAGGGCATTTCATCCATTCTGTGACTCACAACCAACCCCACTCTGGTTCCCTCACAACACAAGTGCATCTGGTTTTCGCCAACACTCTCGCTCCAGCCATCTTTTTTCGTTTGGGCGAAATGGTGTTCCATCACTGTACAAAACAAACAGTAGCGCCAAATGTATACCGCTGCTTCTTCTTAGGCGGGGTGCAACTTCTTAGGAACAGTAGCAGGACAAACATGGAGTGTGCGTAACGAGACCCTTATTGGATGAAAAAAAAGGAATCTCGGAAAAGACAAACTTCTCGCCACAGAACTGCCTGCGACAACCAAGTTCCAAGCTATAATACATCGAAGTTGAAGCTGATAGTTGGGCCACGGCTTTAAGTATTGTAAGGCTTGCGACATTTCGCATGCGCAAGATCAGCAGAGGCACCATGTCGCATCTTCGCTCTCATCGCACAGTAATCTCAGCCCGTTATTGTCCAATTCTGCTATAAGTAAAGCACACTTGTCGAGCGCTAATGAATTATAAACATTGGATGTTCAAGCAGAAACATATCTAGATTCTGACAAGGCATTTTTCATGGAGTTTGGCTGACGAAAGCCCAGGCTCTTGCCGTTCCCAGGAACATGAAATATTTCTACAATCCATGGCGTCATGACGGCTGCTGGGACGTTTGCAGCTCATCACCACAGCATCAGACTCTTTTGGCTTACGGTAATTATTCAGGACACACCGTTCAGGCACACCGCTCTGCTTGCTGTGTCAAGTGGTTGCTGTCTCGCACCCATCTATCCACGCTCTGCCGCCTCTCCGCTATCCTCCACGCCTCATCACTTCGCAGTATTATTTTACAAGACCAATAATGGACACCCGAACCGCGGCTATGGCCATAGCCGATTGCGCCTATCCGATCCGCTTCCTTCAGCGTACCGTTCCGTTCCTTCCGATACCCAATCCCTCCCGTTCCGCCTATCAAACCTTAGCCAGCAGCCCCACACGACTGACTTGCGCGGCTATCTTCCCCCTCGCAGGGGATCTCTCTCTCGCACCCCATTCTTCCGTCTCCCACGGCCGCCTCGCTCGGCCTTCTCGCACTTCTCCTTCGCACTTCTCTCTCTCCCGCGCGCATGCAGCACCGTCATCCCGCAAAGCATCCGTACGGTGATCCGCCATTTAGCAAGTCTTGTGACACACGACACGAGTCTTGAATCCCTGGTGTCTCACTTTCAGCAATCTTCAGTCAAATCTTGAGTTTGAAATCGTGTTTTTCCAATTGAAGACTTCTCTTCGTGCTCTGTCTCGTACGTTCTGGTGCATGAAATTGCAGCAAAGCCGCTTGTTCGGTTTATTTGATGCTAGCAAGCTTCGGATCGCACTATATCGCGTACGGCAGGGTTGCGGTGGTGAATGTCCGAAGCGCCGACAGCGATCTCGCCGTCGCTGCCAAATCCTAAGTCCTTTCGTCCTACACATCATGCCTCCGATACTGATCGTTCCACTCGACCTACGCTTCACGTCCCGGGGATTCCGGAAAATGTTTCACGTAAGCAGCCTCCCGGACCTCCACCAGCGCAAATCGCGGACGCCGAATTTGCAGCCGCGGAAAGCGACGAAAACGGCGGCGTGTTTTCCGCTTTGGACTACGAATCGCAGTTATTCTCGCATCTGCTCCCGCAGCTCTTCTCTCAACCCGTTCCGCGGCTCCTCCACGCTCCTGATGACGTCAGCAGCTTTCAGAGCACCGGCCAACCGTCTAGAAGCATGGACCGTCCATGCAACGCTGCTGCTGGTAACCCGACGGAGGGTAACCTTTCGGATGAGTATGGGGAATCGCTGGCGGCGGGTTACAGCGAAGATGGTTACCGATTTCGTAGCATTCCGTCGCGTGAAACCATAGAGCTGAGCTTCCAGAATGGTGACGAGTGCGGAAGCCTTTTCGAGTTCGACGCGGGGAACCATGAGTTTGGGCTCGAGTGGAACCATGACGTGGCAGACCATGACGAGGCAGACCGTGACGTGTCAGGGCTCAACGTGGCAGACCATGACGTGGCGGCAGACGTGGCAGACCATGACGTGGCTGGCCATCACGATACAGGCCATGACGTGGCGCATCCCAAGGAGCCAAGTTGTGACGCAAAAGACCACACGGCGATCGACCAAGGGGTGGGGTCAGTTCAAGAAACAGCAGAGGACATTTGGGAGGGGATTGCATCTTGGAACGGAATGGATGGCACAGATTCGCACCACTCAAGTGATCCAGCGGCTGGGATTCAACAGCAGGTTTCCGTGGCTAGCCTGGACGGATCTGATTGTCTCTGGTGCGTCCCCGAATCTCCAAGGGCAAATTTTATGGATACACCCAGGACCTCAGTGGAAGATCGGGGAAAGATGCTGCACGAAATGTCGTTGAAAGGGGATATGAATTGCGCTGGGCGGCGAGATTCAGGGCAGGAGAAGAAGGAGGAAGAGAAGAGGGATGAAGGGGAGAGGGAATTGGCGGAAGAACTGATGGGGGAGTTGATGGGCCAGGGAGACGAAACGCTAGTGGATGTAGGGAGGTGTGTGGCGGTGAGCTTATGTGCGTCTGTCAGAGGGATGGAGATGGGTGCTGAGGGCAATGGAACAACGGCAAGCCATGATGGCATGGTGGGCGGTCGTGGCATGGGTGCTGATGGTGCAACTGGGAACCATGATAGCATGCATGGCATGGTGATGGTCGACGGTCATGTCATGGGTGCTAGTGATGGTGCCATAGTGACCCAGAATGGCATGAATGATATGGGTGGCATGAGTGGCATAGATGGCATGGATGGCATGGATGGCATGGGCATCCATGGCATAGATGCTGCGGACATGCATGGTAAAGGCATGCATGGCATGGGTGCTGGTGCAGTGGTGCCCCTTAGTGACATACATGGCATGGTGATGGGTGGTCAGGGTATGGGTGCTGGTGATGATGCCATGCTGACCCAAAATGGCATGGATGGTATCAGCGCATGTGTGATTGCTCCTGGCCGTAGCTGGTCGTTTGGTAATTCGGAGTGGATGGGTAGTGGTGGTCTGGAAGTGGGCGGCAGTGGTGGTCTGGAAGTGGGCAGTGGTGGTTTGGAAGTGGGCGGCAGTGGTGGTCTGGAAGTGGGCGGCAGTGGTGGTCTGGAAGTGGCCGGCAGTGGTGGTCTGGAAGTGGCCGGCAGTGGTGGTCTGGAAGTGGCCGGCAGTGGTGGTCTGGAAGTGGCCGGCAGTGGTGGTCTGGAAGTGGGCGGCAGTGGTGGTTTGGAAGTGGCCGGCAGTGGTGGTCTGGAAGTGGGCGGCAGTGGTGGTCTGGAAGTGGCCGGCAGTGGTGGTCTGGAAGTGGGCGGCAGTGGTGGTCTGGAAGTGGGCGGCAGTGGTGGTCTGGAAGTGGGCGGCAGTGGTGGTCTGGAAGTGGGCGGCAGTGGTGGTCTGGAAGTGGGCGGCAGTGGTGGTCTGGAAGTGGGCGGCAGTGGTGGTCTGGAAGTGGCCGGCAGTGGTGGTCTGGAAGTGGGCGGCAGTGGTGGTCTGGAAGTGGGCGGCAGTGGTGGTCTGGAAGTGGGCGGCAGTGGTGGTGAGATGGATGCTGATGGTAGGGGTACGAGTGCAAGTAATAAGTTCGGTGATTTGGAGTGGATGGGCGGCAGTGGTCCGGCAGTGGGCGGCAGCAGTGGGCGGCATGGGATGGATGTGTTGCTGATAGAGAAACCAGTGCCACCACAGCAACAGCAGCAGCAACAACAACACAACCCACAATGCTTGCAGCAGCAGCACCACCATCACTTGCTGCAGCAACAGCAGGAGAAGCACCTGCAGCAGCTGCAGCAGCCAAAGCAGCTGCAGCAACGTCACTATCATCAGCTTCTGTCGCTGCCACGGCTACCCCTCCCAGCTCCGTATGCTCCTTTTCGACCGCTTCTGCATTCAGCTGGACAAATCATGCAGCAGCAGTACCTGCAGCAGCAGCGGCAACAGCAGCTGCACCCACAGCAGCAACAGGAGGAGGAGAAGGAGGCGGAGGAGAAAGTGGAGGAGGAAGAGGTGAAGCAGACGCAAGAACGAGTGTCCTTGTTGTCCCTCTCACCTGCTCTCACCACGTCACTCTCAGCACCATCACTAGCAAAAATACTTACACCACGCTCACCAATACTGATCGCACCGTCACCACTGCAAGCACTACAGCCACCACCACCACCATCACCATCACCACCACCACCAGTACCATCCCCATCACCACCGCAACCGCCAGCACTTCTGGGGCTACTGCCTTTACCCCCACTCCATCTGTCACCCTCACTCCATCATTCTCCTGCACTCAAGCCGCTTCCCCATTTCAAATCGCCACCAATTCTCCAGCCCCAACCTACTCTTCTGCCTTCACTTGCCTCAGTACCAACACTTAGCACAACACCACCACTTAGCCCACCACTACAACTTAGCACAACACCATCACTTAGCCCTCCATCTCCCCTTCGCTTGCCACCAGCTCTTAGCCCACAAATGCCACATGGCACCCCACATAGCACTCTACGTGGCATGTGCCACGTGTCTTCACGTGCTCAGACTTTGCAGCAGGGTCAGCAAGCAAGAGGCATTCGTGGTGCAGGCAGGGGGAGAGCGTGGAGGGAGGGTGGGAGTGCACGGAAGAGAGTGAAAGTGAGTGCGGGAGAGGGAGGAGAGGGGGGAGGAAGAGGAGGAGAGGGAGGAGGAGCAACAAGGGGAGTGGAAGGGGGCAAAAACTATGTGTCTGTTTCGCCTCCTCGTTTGCCCACTTCACACAGCATCCACAACGCTTCTTCAGCCGTTCTTGCTCCTGTGCCTGCAACTGCTGCTACTAATGCTGCCACGGCTGCTCCCACTTCTGCTGCTATCGCTGGTGCTTTCCCTGCTGTCTCTGCTGCCGTTACCAGTGCTGCTGCTGCTTCTACTTCTGCCGTTCTAGCGATAGTACAAGAGGGAGGAGAGGGGCAGGATAGATCACTGAAGGTGGTGGTGAGGTCGCTACTGGGGGAAGTGGGATGGATGCTAGGCTGCCTAGCTGGGCCGACAGACGTAGCTGATCCCCTCACAGAGAAGGCTGCGGCGCCCTTCGAAAGGATGTCTGAGCCTCTCTTTGGGATGCCTGGGGCATCAGCTGTTGCGTCTCTTAGGGAGGCCTCAGCTGAGGTTCATGTGAGGCAGATGTTGCGTGCTTTTGACCCACTGCATGCCGCCCTGACTGTCCCCACAGGGATGGTTGCTCCTTTCACAGACAAGGCTGGGCCCTGTACGGGAATGACCGCAGCAGAGGGCACATCTGAGGTTCATGTGCGGCAGATGCTGCATGCTTTTGACCCACTGCGTGCCGCCCTTGTGGCAGACTGCGCTGGGAACCCTCCTGCAGACTCTGCTG